TCCCACAGTATCCCATCTTTTCTGAAAAAAAGGGGAAATAAATCGGGATACGGCTGATATGATGTGGACACGGTGGGGAGTCAGGAGCGAGCCTCCAGCAACCGCGCCGCCACTCAGCTCTCATCTCGATGGTCGCTAGCAAGGAAGAACATCCAGGTGGAGAGGAAGATTGGAAGGTGGACGCTGATGAGGAAGAAGCTCCAGGCAGGGAGAAAGATGTGGACTGCAGCCGCCAGCAAGGAAGAGGATTTGGGCCGATTTGAAGGCAGTGGTGGAAGCTGCCGGTGAGCAAGAAGGTACAGGCGGTGGCGCAGTCATTTCATCTTCTCTCTGCAGCTCTCAGGCGGCTGGAGGAAAACATCACAGAAATGTGTGGGCTGGAGGAGCTGTGTAGTGTAGGATTTTCTGGAATTGGGCCTTATATGGGCTCTGAGTGGAGGGTTGTGTGGACTACTCACAATGTTTCATCTATAGAAATGAGGCAACATATATCCTGTACTAACTATAAAAAAGCTCTCATCTCAAAATTATCATCAAATCTTTATTACTTGCCGTTTACTTTTAAAACACTTATATACCCTGCTGTATCCCCGAATGGCTGTTTTTGGAAAATGCTGTATCCAGTGTCCCCATACTAGCATCCCAGTGTCTGTTTTCCCGTGCGGTGCTTCTTAGCTTAGAATTGCCTTATTATGTATGTAAAATTAACCATCATGGTCATACTTAGTTTTGATCATTTATTAATGTGTTGTGATTTTGTTTGTCAGGTAATTGATGAGTGTCTGCGTGTTTCATCTGGATTCAAGGGTGCGGATGATCTCAAAGAGTGTAGATTGCTGGATATTCAGCAATTTTCAGACTGCACTGTAAATAAAAGTATTAAATCTGCGCCTCACTTTGAAATTGAAACCCCTGGACCATCACAAAACTGCTCTTTGGACATTACACTTGGAACCAACCGTTGGACTGAGGTGTTAGAAACTCATCTCCCTCGGGGATTATCACATGCCTCTGCTATGGTAATCTACCACCTCTAGAACCTGTGTTGTCCATGTATTATCGTATTAATCTGGAACGTATAGTGGTTAGGCTTCATGTGTTTCTCAATAATCTGTGGTGTTAATGCTAACTTATAAACATGATTTAGCAGATTAGTAACAGAATGCCTGCTGCCGTTTTAGTCAAAGCAGCTAACTAATGTATGTTTGAGTATTGTGTTGCCGTTTATGATCCTTGGTTCTAAATACAGCATGATATGCTTAGCCGTGTTGTTATCTTCAGATGATACTTTATGTCCCGTATGTAAGAAAATAGTTTTGTCTTGCAACAGCACCATTAAATTTAGGGAGCATGTGCTCCATGAACCTGATGGAAATGCTTTTATGTATTGCTGAAAGTATTCCATTTTTTGAGTGTCTGTTTTTCCTGGACTAAATAAATTAACTGTTTGTTTCTAGGTCAGGACAGCATCACTCACATGTTTCGCGGGCATGACCTCTGATGTTTTCTTCTCCCTACCAGTAAACAAGAGAGATTATGTGACCTCCTCATCTGTAAGTTTATTATTTGTGTGTTTCATTATGTTTCCCTAACCTGTTAAAATTTCGTGAGTATCACAATTGTTGTTGTGTAGGTTCATGCAGCATTGAGTGATGCAGTTGCTACAGTGAGGTCGGCTGCATGTCGAGCCATTGGTATTGTTTCATGTTTCTCCCAAATATTGTCGAGGTAAAATTTCAGACTTTGGTTGCGCTGCAGTCTCAAGTAGTCAAGTGCTTATTTTGAGGTACTTGAATGATGATGACCAATAGTCCGTAACTCCTGTTTCCTTCTGCAGTCCTAGCCTACCTGGCGAGTTCATAAAAGCCATTGACTTCAATACACAAAATTCATCAACTCCAGTATGATATTTGTATCTCTCTCTTTAATGCTTGTGCACTGTTATTTTTTTTTTGTTGTACTAAAATTTATCAAGTATTCTATGTGTAACATTGTCTCAATCTAAATGTTTAGGTCCGTATCACTGCCTCGTGGGCTTTGGCCAATCTTTGTTCTTCTATTCGTTTCAGAGCATTGGAACTACAAACAGATCCGACTGCAGGTATGTATTGCATATTGATTGTTAGTTGGTTACAGAATCTATAATATAACAATACGGCATGCTTATCTTTCTACTATTTTTTCAACTGTAGATCTACTTGATAAATCAACAATTTCATTGCTGGTTGAAATTGCTTTGCGCCTAACCAAAGATGGCGAAAAAGTAAGTTTGTCTTGTCAACTGATGTCTTTCTCTCTCTTTATTTTACATTTTCACTAGCCCAGATGCCTGTTTTAGGCTATTGAACAGCAAGACATTATTCAGTTGTAAATTGAAAAGAAAAGGAAGATATCTGTATATTTCTGTATCTAATGGTATCAGTGTTGTTGTTTTTATTTATGTTCAGGTAAAGTCAAATGCCGTTAGAGCCCTTGGATATCTGTCAAGATTTATCAGATTCAATCATCATTGTGATGCAGTTGATGATTCAAGGTTGATAATATTCTGCATGCATCATCATCATCATCATCAACAACAAAGCCTTTAATACTCTGTAGGCATCAATCATAATTTTTCTTAACTTGTTTCTTCAGCTTACAATTTTGTGGCTTCCATCACAGGAATTCTGTTTTCTATGGAGATCCTGTCTGTCTTCAAACAATAGTACAGGCTTTGATGTCTTCTGTGACTACTGGAAATGTAAAGGTACTGCAAGAAATGGTTTTGCACTTGTACTTAAAACAAACATCCATGGGCTGAATCTCTTGTTATTCACTCAACATTATCCTAGTTTCTGAGACAATTTATTGTGTCAAGGCGAGACTAAAGAAACATGTTTCCCTTGTTTTGTTCTAATGAGGAACACCTCAGTTAGCAAAGAATACAAGTTCAAGATTTTTTTCCTTCTATTTTTCTATTATATGTGATTGTTGAATGTGGAGATGTTTTACATGAATAACTGCTTCCATTTGACTTGTCTTTTGTCATTCATACAGGTTCAGTGGAATGTTTGTCATGCTCTTAGTAACTTATTCATGAATGACACCGTGAGACTTTCAGAGATGCAGTGGTATGATTTGCACATGCAACATCTTCCAGTATTTTATTGAATTTCGCAGAAACTTTTATGCATCTTATCTGCTTTAGAATTCCCATTGTAGAAGCACCACATTCTTTCTTTATCTTCCAGAAGCATTTGAATGAAACGCATATGCTCTCCACCTACAGAAGGTGAAGCCCAATGTTTAAAGAGGCTATTTCGTAATATTCTAAATCTAATAAAGACAACCTTCACCCACATCTTCTATTTTCAAATATTCATCTTTAAGGAACTAATCAGTCAGAAATTTGGGCAATAGTTATTTCTCCCCATTGTCAACCTTGTCAATTGAAAGTACTATATGAGAAATCTACACGCCTGGTACCATACCTCGGTGAGTAACTGAGTACTCCAGCTTCATATGTTAGTGGTTCTGATTTCAGGTGTTTTGTATTACAGGGCATCAAGTGTTTATAGCATACTTCTACTATTACTCCGTGACTCAAACAATTATAAAATAAGGATGCATGCGGCTGTTGCTTTAGCAGTGCCAGTCACAAGGCTTGGTTAGTCCACTGAATGCTTTAATTGCGCCTTTGTTTAAGTTCTGATCATGCTTATTTTGCTAATACCATATCATGCCAAATTGCCAATGGATTAAAGCTTTCTGTCATTATTATTTAGATTATATTATCCTGTGCTGCTTATTTCATTTGTTGGAGGTTCGTGTCTTGCCTGTGGTATCATTCTGCAACTGAATTCATGATGCTGCTGGATGTGTAGATTATGGTAGCTCCTTTCCAGATGTTGTCAGAGGCCTCACACATGTTCTTGAGTCATTAAGTTCGAACAGTTCATCATCGCCTTCAAATTTCAAACACCGGGACAACCTTGAGAAACAGGTCAATGTTGTTCATCATCGCCTTATATATATATATATATATATATATATATATATATATACTCCAAAACATGTCGCAGCATTGTTGAACCTTTGACTCCTTTTTACAGCTTACGTTTACTGCTCTGCATTTGCTTGGTTTTGTTTCACCGAAGGATGACCAAAGCCTGAAAGATTTTCTTATCAAGGTAACCGTCTCATGCCTGTGTGTTGTGTTTTCACTAATATGATGTATTTATCTGTCATAGTGTTGTTCAGAGGCAAATAACAGCCAGATCAGGTTGATATTTTGAGAATCTGGATTCATCAGTTTCATGAGCATGTTTTGGCCCTGTCATGTATGGAATATCAAAACATAACCAACTCTGCAGTGTTCTTAACGATGTGATTTTTTGTGTCTGTTTCCTATTTATCATGAAGTCCTGGAAATGAACTCATGTGCTACGTCGATAGCACAAATTTTGGTACTATATTTGTCTATATTAGGACAGGCCTGGCGCAGTGGTGAAGTACTCCCCACTTGTGCCAAGAGGTCCTGGGTTCGACGCGGCCTCTCTGCATTGCACTGTGGAGGGTTAAGGCTTGTCTCGTATAATCGTTCCCCGGACCCCACCTTGTGTGGGAGCTTCTAGCACTGGGTTTGTCCTTTTTATATTTATCTATATTACTCCCTCCGTCCCAAAATACTTGTCGGAGGAACGGATGTATCTAGACGCAATTTAGTTTTACATACATCCATTTTCATTCATTTGTCCGACAAGTATTTCCGGACGGAGGGAGTACTTGTTATTTTAGTGAATATATTGCTCTTGTTTGTACACCTAAGATGTAGAAGAGCAGGTTTCTACTCTAGCCCTGTGTAATATGCATGCACTGAAGAAATACCCCATAGTATGTGGCTTAAATGCTTAATACTTTGACTTTTTTTGTAACTGAAAAACAGATATATTGTTCTGTTGCCCTATCTAATTCACTTTCATTTTGAGCAGAAGGCATCCTTTCTGGAAGACTGGCTGAAGGGTTTATGCTCAGCATTCAATAGTGCCGAGGACCAGCCTCTGGCAAGCGAGACCATAAATGACGAGGATGGTTTCAGCCCAAATGTGTCACAGAAAGTTATGTTATCTTCTGCTGTAGTGTCCTTGCTCAATGTATATACAAGTGGAAACCAGCAAGTTATTACTCAGAGATTTGAGCAATTGGCTAGAAGCACAGCGTGAGCGTCAAAAATCAATGGTGGTCTCCACACCCATCAACGAGCAGCAAGATATTGGTCATCCACCTTAGAGAAGCCAACTCGCCTATCAATTGGTTCTTGAGGCTTCCAATAAAGCGAGGCAACCTGACCTGTACGTCAATACATTCCATGAAGTCGACGAAGCTGCTGAGTTGGGTGATTTCAGATCAAGGGCAGCTCCTGGCAGCTAGCCAAGTAGTCGGTCAATGCAGAATTGCCTTGACATGTTGTATTCTAGTGTAAAAATAGTTGTTGAATTTCTTCCAGGTTTGGCCATGTTGTACATCGTGTTTACTTATGATCACTAGTGTGCATACACGGAGCAGACATGTATACTGAAGGATTATTCGGCTAGATCAGTACTACAGATTAATAGCTAGATCAGTACTACAGACTGTAGTTCCATATAAACTGCAACATTATGGATTTGGCTTGGGTTGAATGCTTTGTTAGACCACAAGCATGATGATTTTGGATCTGTGAGCGCAACAGAAAATGAATGCCGGCCATTTCAGCTGGGGGTACCAACCGCTATAAATGGGGACGCACCATTCCCTTGTTCCAGTGTTTTAGTTGGTAACATTGGAGAAGCAGGTATGTTGGGTGCTATATGCTCTTGTGCACGCTAAATGCCTTCCTGGATTTCAGTTGGCCTGTTTTGTTGGTAGATCAGGCAATGTTTAAAGGTGAATAGGTCACAAGTTGACAACAATGATGGCAACAGGAGGCAGCAGCTGCCTGTTCCATCTTTCCAGGCAACAACTTTTGCCTGTGAGATTTCATGGACCTTGCTATAGGCTTTCTTTGACCTTCGAGGGGGCCACTTGGCTGCCCCATTTTCTCCCTGTTCAGTTTGACTGGATCCAATAGGTTGTTTGTTATCACATGACATACTGCTATTTTTCTTCTCTTTAAATCTTTTTTTTGCTGAAACTTATTGCGCTTCATTGCATCAATATTAGTCTGGGGAAGATGTGAATGAATATGGCATTTTTGCTATTTATCTTTTTCCCTTTCTAATTCCTCATGCACTGTTTCTCTCTTCCCAATAATAAATAATTCCAACAATTAAGTGCTTTAGGAATGTTGTAGTATTATATTATTAGCTGGCTAGTTGGTGATGCATCCCATGATCCTGATTGGTAGAAATTGAGCACGTAACCGGATTGTTTCAAATAATTGCTTGCATCCCCCACACAGGTGATGAGCCCTGCAGTATATACCATTGCAACAATCAATACGCCATCAAAAGCAACATGCACCCTAGCGCACGCGTACACTTCACAAGAGGCCAGAGGATGGATGGTCCAACCAACGCCTTCCTTTTTTACATACAAGAAACAAAAAGACCACGTACAGTGCATACGTTTACTCCACGGTCCGTAGGCTGCATGAGCAAAGTAGTAGCAGTAGTACTGGAGAACATCTACACAACATTCCATTAACGTCCAATTAATGGATACATGTAGGCACACAGGTCACTCGATGGATCCTCTTCCTCCCTTACGGCAAGTTCAGGGTTTCTCTCTCTCTAGTGACGGTGCCTCCCTGCTTGGCGCCGCACAAATTAATTTGTCGACGCACAAACCGATCTGGGTAGTACTTCCTCCCTCCGAAAATATTTGTCAACAATTCTGAATAAGATCCTCATATCCTTTTTGGCCCACAAATAATATGCTTAAATATCTCACTCTTTTTTGCACGGCAGTATATGTATTATATATTTATGCGTGAGCAACACGTGGTTGGTGCCCTTTGAGCGAGAATGTTGTGCTGCCCCGGTTGGACTAATAACAGTTGAGAGGTTTGATACTTTGATATCACTGTCTCCCGAGGACGACAGCGTGATAAACAAATGGCGGTGGAGTACCACCTACTGTCGCTGAATTTGACACGACCAAATTATCTCCTCCTTGCATATTCCTTGTGCTCGTGCGGCACTTAATCACTTCAATATTGTCCTACTTTGGGAGTTAATCTTGGACCTGCCTTCGTATTTCTTATTATTATTACAGACTAATGGGGTGCTAGTCACTCCACGGAGTGCCGTATTCTTTCAACCACTACGGAACTCGATTTTATAAAAATATAATACTCCCTCCGTGACTTAATATAAGACCTTTTTTGACACTTGACAAAAGTGAATGTATCGAGATAGATTTCTTTCGAGGAACGCCTCCCGCCTAGTTTCTTCATTCCCATCCATGTTCTTCTTTTAGTGACAGAGCAAAGAAACTATACTAATAGGTAAGTCTTAAAAAAAAAGACTTTCGCCCCGTTTTATATTATAAAGCAAACCGCCCGAGCCAAATATCCAACAAGGTTTACACACACACATACACACACACACACACAAGTCTTACAGGTACACACGGTAGCAAATAGGGTTAATGCTGAGGGCACAACTCAACAAGTCCTGGAAACAAAGCAACACACTCACACACGCGACCCGCGCAGCAGCTCTAATCGGCTCCATAGGAGGGGACGGTAACGTGGGCGCCATGCGGAAGGTCATCGAGCGAAGGTCGGCGAGGAGGGTGTTGATGGCGTCCCGGTCCTGGGAGCGGCTAAGCGGCCGCCAGAGCTGCAAGTAACGACACATTTTGAAGATCGCATC